CGCAACTTTATTGGGAAAATTACCGGCACCCTAATATTTTGGAGAAAAAAAGATTTTCAAAAGTAGGTCGACCTGGTACTCAAAAGAAGCGAAATTTTATAAAAAATTTGAAAATAATAATCGTTTTATAAAAATCATATTGCCAAAAAATATTGTTATTAAAAAACAAGTAAAACTTCACCTTTTTCACTTTTAGTTAAAAAACTATAGTTATTATGCAATAAAATATAAAATAATAATTTTGATATGAAAAAATTTTGCTTTATTTGAGTACCTTCATCACATAATTTTGAAAAAACTTTTTTTCTGAATAATAATAGGGCCTGCTAATTTTTGTAATTATAGTTGCGGGTGGAAGACATTGTTTAATCCATAAAAGTAAATACTTTCCTAAATTAGTACATAAAAAAACAACTTTCTAGACCATAGCCAGGTTAGCAACTCTAAAAAAAAATTTTATGACCCACCCTAATATATATAAAAATATTAAACAAAACCATTATAAAAGTCAACATATATATGATAATTTAAGTTACCTGGCAATAATAACTTGGATTCTGCAACGTTTTTTGACGCCTTCTCTATTGTTAATTCATTACATTTATTTTCTGGAATAATTTTTGTCTGCGCTACAACTATATTAAGTAAGCATTTTCACAAAATATGTTGCATATATTAAATAAAATATTTAAATAACAAACGAAAAGTAAGGCACCTTTGTTTTTTGAGTCCCACTTTGAAAAATCAAACAGCTCTTTAATTTCATCGTTAGAAGGTTTAGCTAATAGAGGAAACTTTTTTTCTTTTTTTTATTGAATAAAACTGTGGTTGTTTTGTTAACTTTTTGTTTGATGGTACATTTTCTTTTAAGAAAAATTGTTCAACTCTGTTTTCACTTAAAGTAAGAAAAGTACTTGTAGCTTGTGAAATGTTTTTATTCAAATTTTTTAAAGCTTTTTCTTCCGAAATTGTACTTGAAGACACTAACTTGACAAGACCCATTAAATTTTTTATAATATTACTTTTCAAAGTCTAAACATCACCAGAAACATTACATATTGTTTTGCTTTCCAAATCAACTGGAGGTAAACTAACAAGGGTATTTTTTTTTAATTTACTTTCACTTCCTAGACGATGAATTAAATGAATATGTTTGCATGGTATATTTTTTGTTAGAAAATCCATACAGCTACAGTGATATAAATGGGAACAGACTTGGCATTCAGTGCACTTTGTAAGACAACCAATTATATTACATATATCATAATGTTTTATAACTTCATATTGATCATTATTATTTTCAGACTGTACAAACCATTTTCCTTTTTCCTCAATAACACAACTTAAAGATAAATGTAAACTAACTACATGCCTAGAATATATCAGATTTAATTTGTAGCTATTTTTGCCTTTGGTTAATTTTATTAACCTTTCATACACTTTATCTCTATTGAATTTTAATAATTTAAACAAGCAGTTATCTATTCTTTTATTATGTTTTCCATTGAGTTAATTATACTTAAAGGTCTTATGAAATGATTCGAGATACATATTAGTATTAATTCCATGTCCAATTCCAATTTTTGAAAATATTCAGCAAATGATTTAGTTAAAGTGAAAGATTGCAAGTAAAGCATGAATGAGTTTAAATAATCATCTAAAAGTTTACGATTGCTTAATTGTAAAATAAATTCAAGTCTTTTGTAAACATCTACTTCCATTTCAGTATTTTTTATTTTTTTATGAATTTCATCTCTCCATGCTCTATCAACATGCCATGTACACCATAATTTAAGAGGAGCACATGTATAAACATTACAAAATGCATCATAGTATTGTGCAGCCATGTCAGTCATTATCCAAATGGGATAAATGTTACCAGAATTTTCTTTTAGTTTGCCAAAAAAAAGCCTCATAAAATTAAAAGAATCACTAGTGGCTAAACACCACCCAGCAGGTTGACCCTCACCTAATTCATCAACCACTAATAATGTTGTTAAAAGAAAGTCATAACCATTTGTACCGTGAGTAGAATCAATACAAACCCCTGCACGTCCAAATTGTTGGAACATATTTTTTTGGTGTTCAGTTTGTATGATTATAATAAAATCTGAGACTTCAAACTGATGGGATGTATCAGGTTCTCCTTGTAATTTATAATGTAATATAGGATTGTTTTCCTTCATTTGCCACTCTTTTAACCAAGCTGCAACACTATCTTGGTCGTTTGGATGGCGTTGAACTGAATTGATCTTAAATGCCTTTTCAAGGTTGACTAAATCTTTTTTCTGAATTAACCGACAATTTCATCTCTTATTTCATCTAAGATGTAATCTTTTGTTATGCCTATTTGCAGCTTTGCTGCTATTTCTCTCTTTTGACATTTTGTTAAAGAAAGATGTTGAATCTCGGTTTGATGGCCGTAATGAGAATAACAAGCATTAACCACAACTTGCGTATTGGAGCATGTCACTTTTAGTGTCGATGTGCAATTCTTGTCTATTTTTCGAGTTCCTAATACCAATTAACAATACCATTTATAAGTAACTCGCCAAACAAACATAATTTTATTAATATATTTAAAAAATGATATAAGCAATCTTTCACTTTGACTTATGTCAAATTGATAGATTGACTTTGACTTTCATTAAACTAACTAGTAATTTTCATATTTTGAGAAAAGCCTTACAAGTGAAACTATTAGACATCACACAATAACAACTACACATACACATTAGATTGTCAAAAAAGGAATAAAAAAAATACCGCTACTTTGTATCCTTCTTTTGCCTGATGACAAACAATTATATAAACCACTTCGTTACATTGGTAGTATGTAATTATCTTACCATCTTTACAGACCTTTCCGCCAGAGGTTACAATATATTGACTTAAACAACTAAGTTCAATATCAGACTTCCATTTTTCAAAATCTAATCAAATTTTTCATGTTGAATTATTATTTTTACAATTATATATAGAGATCAAGCAAAAAATATCTGCAAGTCTAGCTGCATATGGAAATTATATATTTGCAAAACTTTGCTGATATAAATTTTGAAAGTAGTGAAACAAAAACAAATCATATTTATGTTAAAATATATGAACGTTTAAATTTTTTTTTTTTTAATATGATTGTTATTGTTATAGTTATAAAAAAGAAACTACTTACCTATTAAATTAGAAAATGATAGTAATTCTTTTTGGAATGTAAAACAATGAGATGAAGATAAATGTTTTCTTAAATCAGTAATTCTCCGGCTTTGAAACCCGCAATCTAAACAAAAACTATTTCCTGTTCTAATACTTGCTTGAGCATCTTCACTTGACTTGTGGATGTTTTTGATATGACGCTGCAAATTGCATTTTTTGGTAAAGAAAGATTTGCAAAAACAACATTCAAAAGAATTAATATTTTTTTCTTTATTACTCCCTGAACTTTTTTTTTCACACTTTGATTCTGCAAGATTTGTGCAAATAAAATTTTCATCATAATCTGAATCCGATAAACAAAGAGAAATTGATTTTGGGACAACATATTCTATAACTACTTCTTTGCAAATAAACCATGCCATCAAAACCAAGCGTAAATACTTTAAATATTTTGTTGGCTCCTTAAGAAATATGTAGTTGTTATTCAGTTGATCATCATTACATATAATATGCATGAAGTAATCATATCTTAAACAAGCAATTGCACATAATACTACTGTTATGACTCCACATATATCTCTACATGTTTGTAAAGGATAGTTTCTTTTGCACAAAGAACTGCACAGCTTACCTGCATACTTATGAGTAATTGGATCATGGCAATATATCACATTGAAAGTTTTATTATTGTGATATAACTTTTTAATTAATAGATCCACTTTTAACAAAAATCTTCTGGAGCTATCCAACCTAATGAATCTCCGTAGTAAAAATTACACTCTGTATTATTATAGGCTGCAAATGACCAATGACAACCTGGATTGATACTTGTGCCAGTAAAGGTTTTCTCATTGCTTTTGCCAACATTAACAATAAAGATTAATTTTTCAGGAACAGTAGTTATGCGTGAAATAAAATGTTCAATATTTCCAACAAAATTAAAGTAAATTACTAGGGAATCATTTTGAAAAGAGTTTAAAATGCTGCAAATTAGAAGCATATGATCAGATGATAGCCATCTGGAACAACAGAGTTCAGCTAACGTATTTGGTGTCATACCATAATCTGAAATTTCTCTGTTTGCTGGTTTACCGAATAGTGCATCTTTAAATTTATCAATTAAATATTCGGGAGGATATGTATTAATAGATTTTGGTAACAACTTTGAAGAATTTAACCATATTATTTCTTGTTCAACGGCTAATTTGATTTCTTGAATTCTATGAAGGGTAATCATGTTGTATACTTTCATAGGTAAAAATTCCTAACTTACATTCTACAAAATGGAAGCCTAATGCAATTTTTTTGCGTAGTAATAGTTCATTAGACCATTTGATTAATTGATTTTTTGGAGGAATACTGTTCAAAGAAAAAACATCAATGTTTTCATCAATTAAAAACTGATTTGTTTTGATTGAGTATTCTTCGATAACTTTTGTAAATTGTTTACGAGACTCGTAAGCATCTCTCCGAGTGTAATCACTAACGGTATGCTTTGTCAGCGTAATTTTATTCTGAGATAAACTTGCAAATACCTTTAAAAAAAGGGAAAGATTTATCATCATAAGTGAATTTTATCAAAAAAGATTTTGTAAAAAAAAGTATTAAAAGGATAAATGCAATTTTTCCAGCTAAAGAGCAAAAGATTAAGAATAGAATATTTATTTTAATAAGAACACTTAATTTAATAAATATTATAATATAATAACATTGTTATAATAAAGTACTTTTTATAATAAGAATAATTATTATTTATTTATTTCATTAAGTTATGTAAAAAAAACTCATTTAAAATAATGCCTTGGCTTTTTTGTTCATAAATTAGACATTTAATATATCTAACTTACTTAACGAAGTGCACCAACGAGAAGGTAAGCCATAGGACTTAGCACTTCATCCAATATTTATCATGTTGCCTAAAGGTAGCCTTCCATTATATATTTATATATATTTTATATACATATATATATATATATATATATATATATATATATATATATATATATATATATATATATACACACCTCAGTATTATGGTCGCCATTTGGCAATGCCAACCTAACTGCTGACTTGAAAGTGTTTAAGGTCAGCAATTTTTTGTTAACCTCATTTCTATGTGTGTGTGTGTGTGTGTGTGTGTATATATATAAATATAAATATATATGTGTGTGTGTGTGTGTGTGTGTGTATATATATATATATATATATATATATATATATATATATATATATATATATATATATATATATATATATATATATATATATATATGGAGGGCTACCTTTAGGCAACATGATAAATATTGTATGATTTATATTCCTCTTATACTTGGTGTACCCTAGATCCGCCCCTGGTATAAAAAGATTGATCATAGTCGTACATCAATTGTTTTATTTTGACATAAATTAATAAAGAATTTTACCTCCTGATTATTGCAAAACAAAAGATTTTGACCAAGATTTTATGTAGGGTGTAATAATTAAGGTACATCCAAATAATGTTATAAGTAAAAAAATTATTTATAACAAAACAGAAAAAATACAAATTTAAAAAGGTTTTTCATAAATTAATAAATTAATATTGCGTATGTCCATTGACTCTTCTAATTAAATCAGCGCTCGAAATGATTATTTGAAGATTGCCGATCAACACTGATCGGCAGAAATAATAAAAGTAATAAAGTAGACGATCAAAAAATTATCCAGACGATCAAATTTTCCTTAACTTTTTCTTTAATAGCGTACAGTTTAGGTGACGTCAAATTGTTTGTTTTACCGCTATCAACCTACAATAAATTGCGTCTTTAGAAAATTCTATTGATTTTGTGCAATTTTCTAAAATATCTTTACCTTAATGCCTTTTAGTACTAAAAAAATCTATTTTTAGAACACTAGCTGAACGCTATTGGTTTTTGAATACAACAGCGTACGTCCGCGTTATCGTCTATAGTTTTTACTTTTAAACTTAGTTCTTAATTCACTTTTTCACTTCAACGCGTTGCCTTTTAAGTGACGTAAAAATATTTTTTGTGACTCGAACAATTGTTTTTTATATAATGATCGTTTTTTAACAAAAATGACACAATAAAAAGGTAATGAACTTTTTAACTAATATTTGATTATTAAAACTTTTTTAAACTAAAAAAAGGTGAGAAAAAATAATCTCGTTTTGCGCTATTCATTACTTGATTCGTTAGATGATGAATCCAAGTCGATTAATGTTTTTAATCCTGCTTTTTTTGCTCTTTTGGAATAGCATTTTCTTACTGATTGCTTTGGCCTTCGCAGGGCATCATTGGTCCATAACTCAATAGCAGAACTTAAATCAAATAAATTGGAATCTTTTTCATCGAAACTTACTCGAATTAAATTTTCTAAACGTTTCTCTTTCAGAGAGTTTCTTGTATCCGTTTTTACTCTATTCATTAGTGAAAAAAGGCGTTCAACTTTCGCATTAGAAACAGGCAAAGTAAATAATAGTTCGACAATAAGTAAAACCGGAACCCATTCATTTTTCATTGAGCTAGAAAAAATTTGATGCCATAACTTACGATAACCGGTATCATGTGGTGCTAAATATTTTACAGTGTAGTTTACCAAGCTATGCCAAGCATCCAAAACATCATTTACAGTTCCTGCAAAACCAGCATGTCGCAACGACGCTCTATAAAAGTTAAAAAGATTTTCTATTCCTTCATCCAGGAATGTTTCATTTTCAATACTTTGAAGCCAACCTTCTGTATTTAAAACTTTTGTACCATACATATCAGTAATAGTATCGCTTGTTTCCAAACGCTCTATGATTGAATTTGTTACTAACTCGATATGAATAGATTTAGACTTTTTTACTAAATGTTTAGCATTTACAAAGTCGTTAAGTGCAACACCCTGGAAATAAAACTTTCCTTCTTTTTCAGTCACTTTGGCGAGAAAACGTTTTACTGTTGGCAAATTAATAAACTTTGTTTTTTGAATACGATTTAAATGGCTTTTAGCTTGTTGAACAAACCCTGATGAAGCCAACACATCTATCTCATCACTTTGAAAACATTTTGACAACATCTTTGCTGGTGCTAAAATCTCAATAAACAACGCGATATAAAGGGGCATTCTAGCATGAATCCACTTTTTGTGGTATCCTTTAAACTTAGCTCTTTCAGCATTGGTAAATGTTATATCTTCAGTCATATTTTCCAGATGTGTTAAATAAACACCGTATTTATCTAAAATCATTTCTAAAGCCTAAACTTTATGTGAAATCCATCGTGTACCTAAAAATGAAACAAGATTATACAATTTATAATTTACTTTATACTTGCAAAAACTAAAAATATAGGCGTCACGCATAACTGTAATGGTAATAAATATAAGATAAATAAATCAAGCAAAAAAAAGAAAATACCGGAGGCTTTCTTAGGTCGGTAACCACCAATGTTATATTCATCATCTTCTAAAATAGAAACGAGTTCACCCAACTGTCTTAACTTTTTGGGGGATTTTTTGTAAATGTAATGCATTTTTAAAATCATGTAATCAACGTCATTGAATGAGGCTGTTTTTCCTAATTTTTCTTTTAATGATAACTCGAGACGATGTGCTACACACCAGCCAAACGTGATCCAGGGGACTTCAGCCTTGAGCAACATTTTAACGCCCGACTTGCTCCCTCTGTTAACGGATGCGCCATCCGCACCAAATCCAACTAGTTTTTTATTGCAATTTACGACTTCTATATTCTCGAGTGACTTTTTTATGGTGTTGAAAACTCCGTGCGAAGTTCCATACTCAACATCCAAAAGTGAAAGAAAATCACGTTCAACGTTTACTTCAGATTTTCCAGTTGGAGCCGGATTAAAAGTAACGGCAAATATAGCTTCTTTTTCCTTAATTGAAACGTCGTTAGAACCGTCAATTAAAATAGTGAAAAAATTTCGAGTATTTAGTTTATTTTTGAGATCTATCGCTAAACTAAGAGCAATGTAGTCAATAAATACTCCGCATGTGTTTTCGTTTTTATAAGCCTGACCAAAAACTACACCATGTTTCTCTTCTAATTGAATTATTTTTGGGTATAGGCAAAGCGATAGTTCTTCTTTTGCTATAAAGTAAGCGACCTCAATTTTTTTTTGTCAAATCCAAGTCTTTACTATTCATGGTTTGAATACCGGAAAAAATGTCTGTTTGCCGCATTTCCTGCTGCAACTCGTTTAGTTTTTCAATTCGATCGCACAAATTCATGCCTCTCGTTTTCATAAAAATCTCAAAAGCCTTCTGATGAGACATTCCCTTTGCATGCGTGATTGCAGAACTATGTTGCAATTGACTACATCCTTTTCCACAGCTCCATTCCGGAGTGTAGCCTTTTAAAATCTGAATTTGCGATGCATATTCTCGGCATACTTTGCATTTTAGCGCTGTAACTATTCCGTCAACGCTTTCAATTTCAAGCCAATCATTAGCATTATATTTTGCAAGCGTAGAGACTTTCCATTTATTAGCTGTTTGTAATTGTAGCTTTCTGTCATAAGTTTTTAGTTTTTTCTCAGCGGGTGTTCCAGATACTAAGTTTCTTTTAAAAGAAATAAATGTTTGAAGCTTTTTGTATGCTTCCAT